GCGAGCATCCATGCAGCAATCCCATCATTTACGATTCACTTGCGAGTAGCACAGTGTGCACAGCGCCTCCATGCTGGCAGCCTTTTCCTTGAATGATACAATAGCGAATGGAGTTAGGCTTTTCCTCAAACATTGTATCGACGAACGATCCTGTGGCCAGCTCGAGCGAAACGGTGAACTTACTTTCAGTGTCACAAGTCCCGAAGGGCACTGCCAAGGAGTTTGCTTGACCACTTCTGAAGCCTTAAATAGCGTACCAGGTTTGCGTGCAAAAGGGAATTAAGGAAAGTCTGAATACAGGATGATTGTCCGGGTTTTCCTCTCTTAAAAGAGTGAGTGATCTTCATAATGTAAAAGGGCAAAGCCTTCTGGCACGACGCGAAATATCCGTGTTTAGACACCTTTTACTTTCTTTCATGTCCAGTTTTCTGGATCTGTTAAACCTTTTAGCACTTTTGGACGGAGCAAAGCCTCTATTGGTTGTCCAAAGCAGAATTTGTACTGCGAGAGACATTGAACCACTTGGAATGATACATTGGCATCAAGAGCCCGCAATATTCACCCATGGCTACCGGTGTTCGTCCTCCACGCCTTAGTCGTTGGATCCTCCACTTACATTCTTTTTTGTGTTGGGACATTCTTACTAACACATTAGTTTAAGTTAGTTGGTTAGTCAGAAATTGCTTTAAACGAGCCGGGTCAACAGAGGGTGGGGCGGGAGGGGGACATAGGACCTACAGGCGCACACGCTGATGACAAATCTTGAAGGGGTCCGTCCGGCTATTATTTTCACCAATGATCTGAGAGAGTTTGTGTCCTACTACAAGGGCCAGACATTCCGCAGACGAGAAAGACAAATGAGGGGTTGGACTAGAGGTCTCTTGATTCTCTGAACACGGCCGTGACGCTGCACTTGTCCTGGCAAGGGACATTGCGCTACACCAGAATGAGGCTGCCTCCTGGCTGGCACATCTTCTGTGGCTCTTTTGCAACTTTGTAGTATTATAACGGAAGCATGGTGCATGGTTTTGATATAGCAGCTTTTTTCTGTTGGGCATTTTAACGAATTGCGACGGCTCGATGCCCTCTCCATTCATCAGTCTAATCAATCTGCAGCGTTATGGATAAATGAAGAGCCCAGTTTCTACAAACTGTAAATCAGATTCCCTGTTAGCACCTAGTGTCTGTTTTGTAAACAAACAACATTTGCATTGTTTGGAAATATTGGCAGGCCTACGGTATAAATTTATAAAAATAATCGACAATGTGTATTGTTTCTTTTCATTGTTGGAATCGGTGGCGGAGACGATCACGGGATGGAAGTATTTATTTTTCCGGAGCGCTTTTCAAGAAAACGCTGCAAAGAAAAATAAAATCACAGATTTCCCATGTGGTTAAAGGTAGAATGGCGGTCACCTTGTGAAAATGGCACGCAAAGCTGACCAAGGTTGGCTAGCTTACAATCGTCCCGAGTGTGCTCCATTCCTCAGAACTTGTTTCAGAATACATTAGTCAAACATGTGCTGTATAGGCGCAATTTTTGGTGCTTTTATGACACAGAATGAAATAGATGGATCTTTGCGGGCTTGAATGGCTGCCGTCGACAGGCCCCCGGGTCGCTCTATTTCGGAAACTACGAACATAGGGTGTTGATAAATTGTATAACCGGATGTTGTAGCGCAAAGAACTGGTCCCTGCATGGTTCCGTTCACAGTTTGGGGGAGGGGTGCGTGTCGTTCGATTATCCCCTCCGGGACCGCCCTGACCTAACGGCCCTACATGTCTAGGCGTTATTTTGATAGCTAGATTTTTGCCATTCTCCTTTGATTTTCTTCTCTGACTATGCTAACACAAACACGCGGACGCACACAGACACGCCAAGATACACCGCACCAAAGTTACACGGGCCCATGCTCACCAGGCCGCGCGGCACACACGTACACCGCCTTCCGTTATCACATTTTAGCGTTCACTTGAAACTGTACATCATTGGGTTTCTGTCTGCTTCAGGATAACCAGGCTTTCTTTTAGACGCGTCATCCGTTCTGGGGCGTGCGTCGCGGAGCGAGTGGTTTGAATCTTCTGTCACCATTGGTAACATCTCAGTAAAGTATCAAGTCTACAACACCATGCACCGCGGTCGGCCACGAGCGCACGCCACCCCATCACCGCCGGCACTGCACAACAGCACTCACAATACAACATGACCTGGTTTCTATAAAGCGCGTATGCGCGCACATGAGCTTTGGGCTGCGTAGCAGATATTATGGGGACACAGGCTAGCATAGTCCCATGGCACGACAACACACGCTGTTATTAGGGTTTTATTTGGTTAATAATGAACATAATTCACATGTTGTTGGCTAAAAATAAATGGCGGAATCGACAACTGGCACACATAGTCGTGTTGTATGGTATATCCGGATGGCTTGGGATTATATTTCATACCCGTCTATTTAGTATAACTTAACCAGAGTGTCGTGAGCTTGTCATTTGGTAATTTCTATTTTTTGTGCGTCCTTCTGCTTTCTGCATCAGAGCAATCATAGTCAGTCCTGTGTTACCTCGCTTAGTCTGCTCGTGGGAAGGATAGCGGCGGGGATTTTAAGCAATCCAAGAGATTGAACGATGCCGAACGATTCAAAAGATTGGTTGTAGATTAGATAGGTCTGCCGACTGGGGTTGAGCTTATAAATATAATAGATGTGCTAGCGTATTGGTAATTTCGAGTCGGTGGAATTCCCCCTTGATCAGCAAGGGATAGACACGCAGCGTTTATTCTATAGGTACTATAGTATCTTATCACTGAAGTCAGTACGCCGCATGGAATTTGCTAGACTCGCCGCCAAATTTCTTAATGATCTGCGTGTGCTATGTACTACGTGGGTGGGTTGCGTGCGTTGCGTGTTGGGGCACGTACACAGTGCGTACGTGATGAGGCACGTTCACACAACTTGTGCGATGTGTGCATAAGGCCGCGTAAGCACGCTGTGTGCTGAGGGGTCGAAATGTGATATTTTGTGTGTGTGTTGTGTGTGTGCAGTGTTTGTCGTGTGTGTGCGTGTGCACATTATACAGAGAATTTTTTCGGTTATGTCGGGCAAGGTGCGTGTGCACGGTAACACCGTGCGTGTGCACTTTCATCACCGTCTTTTGGTATGGCCACACACCATTATCAAGTCTCAGTCTGGGTCACTGTGGGGCCCCCACTGTTTATCGTGAACAGGCATGGGTCCTTTGGCATTTCTTTTTGCCTAGGATCTTCTGATGGGGCCTCCTCGGGAAGCATCATGCCGCATTAACAGAGTTTTCCAAACGATAGTTTGTAGTGGCTTAAGTTGAAGAAAACAATATTAATACCAGAAACCGATAGCCAGCCTGCAACACAGTCATACACCCTTGGCTGGGTCATGCTCTAGCCACGGTATGACGATTGTCCACAGCTGGCTGGAACGCACGCATCCTTTTCAGTCTTATCATCGACACGCTGGCCATACCTAATTCTCCTGGCCTGCCGATTTTACGTTTGGGAGGTGGAGGGGACGGCCCGTCCAAATAGCTTTCACATAACAACTTTGATGTTAGTAATTGACACTATTGGATAAGTCATGTACCTCCTATTAGATTGAGTGTGTTTATTGTAGTAGAGGACGTGCTTCAAGTAACAACGAATGCGATGTGGTTGCGATGTGAATTACTTCCTATGAGAGCCGCTATATACTGATTTAGTTGCGTCATTTGCTAGACAATGCCAGAACCGTTTGTTCTATGTCAACAGACTAGCTGTCAAGCGATCGAATTGGTAGATTGGCTTCGTGGGCGCGCCATTCGTTTTACCAATGTTTGTTATGCTGCCCGTAGGGTCTAAGCATAGAGCTTAGAGCCGTGCAGATAGAGGCGTGTAAGCGTTCTACTCTTACTACAGGACACCTGGACTAGCAGGTGCGTCTAACAGGGAAAACGTTGATTATGGAGGACGAGTTTATATATAGCTCTGGATCTTGGATGAGAGACGCTGGCGAATGGCCGGTAAAAATCGAGGGTAAATTGGCGATGGTGAGGGACGGGGAATAAATATACACTAGTCGGCGGCGCCGGATCTAACTGCTGATGGGGAATCTACTAGTTCGCTTACTGATTCTTTTACTTAAGTCTCGGACTAAGGCGGACTAGCGTTAGTGACGTAACCCTGTTTGAGTTCATTGGCGTGTGCACGTACAACGTCCAGCACATCGCTCAGGTACCGGAAAGACCAGAAGTGAAGAACGAAAACCAGATACGCATTATCGCACCTGTCATTTCACGTTGACTCACCCGAATGAACTTCCATCGTCTACCTGGCGAATCCCGCGACCGGCTCGGTCACGGTCGGGCTGCGGGTTGGGGCAACTGCTGACTATTCTTATGCAAAAATCTTCTGCATTTAGGCGGACTAAAAGAGAGGGTGGGAGATGAATCTGCTTCTAGGAGTGTCGCGTATATGCGCGCAGTCCCGCCTATGGCTTTCGTTTAAACCATGTGCGCGTGCGTGTACCGCGCGGCGGGTGTTGGAAGTTTGTATGTGCGCGCGTGTGTTGGGCGTGGCGTTGCAATTTACAATGGGGGGAGGAGGCCTTCCAGGTTGCCTGCATGCCGTGGGTACTATGCGCGGTTCTTGGCCCGAGGGAGTGGGACGTGAGAATGTGAAGAAGTGCGCCGCCGGAGGACCGGTGGTGAGGGAGCGTGTGGGGCGGCAAGTGGCGGGCGGCTAGGTGGACTTTACCGGCTGTATAGTGTTGTTCGTTTAGATCAGATTAGTGTGTGGACGAATCGAATCTTGGAGTGGTTGAGTAGAGGTGTTCGGGTGGGGTAATGAGGGGGAGATGACTTGTAAGCCAGTGACAGATAGCTGGGCTCCATGCAATCTATTTATATGACATGGAGACTAAATTGGTTGGAGGGTGGTCTTGTGCCCGGGGGTGGGGTGATGCGATTTAATAGCTGTAGTGTTGTTATTTCTTTCAGGTTAGTATCAGGCCGGTACTACGTTAGGGGCGTCTGTATACTGGGGAGGTGTTTGTCCTTGGTCCATAGCTAAGGCGTATGCCGTGCGTGCTTAGAGCGAGGCGGGGGCAAGGGAGGGCAGAGGGTAGCGGATTGCGGTGGCGGCTCGTAGGGAAGGAATGGGTCGATCGACGTTGAAACCACGCGTATGACCCCAGGCCTGGAGGGGGCGCGTCAATTGTGATTCACACCCGACTAGTCACCAGTGGGCGAGTAAGTAGACTGAAAAGATGATATTCCGGTGCCCGGGCAGGGTTCCTTGCCAAGCCAAGTGAAAAAGAATGGGGCGAAAGAGATGTGGTTAAGAAACCCGTTTACCGAGGGCGGCGTGGCACGCCTTGGCAAAGTAATTAAATTATTTACTGTTGTGCTGCGACCTGAGAAAATGGAAAAAGCAAGCGAACATTTGAAGCAGTACGTTGTGATTGTTTTATCGAACTCTTGAAGCGATTTGTTGCTTAAGGAACCGGCGGCCGTTAATCACTATCCTCGTGGCGACGTCGTGATGTGTATACAAGCGGCCATTTGTGGTCTTTTGCTTGCGGTTCAGGCTGAAATTTACCATAGAGCAAAGCCAATGGCAAGGGACATAATCTGAATTGATAGAACGGTAACACAGTGACGTCAGGGGCAGAGTTATGATAGACGAGAGGGCAGGTTCAACTCTGGGAGAGCGAGGTCGTCAGGAAGGGAGGGGCGGGCGCAACAGAAAGAGGTGGGTGGTAGCTGCAGGAGAAAGATTTGGATGCTCACACCCCTCGGCTGGTCGTGCGGGCGATGTGTGCGAGTTACGGCTTAACGTCGCTGAGGGAGAGATAGGTAGAGATACCGAACAGGCATGTGTACGAGGATCATAAGGATGTTAGTCGGGATCGTATGGTTGCTGAGGGCCACATGTAGCAGTGTGACGTATATAGCGAGCTCATGTAGCAATGTAGAGTGTGAGTATAGTGAGCATGTAGAGTGTGAGTATAGTGTACATGTAAGTGATGCTATAAGTGTAGCATGGTAGAGTGTGAGTATAGTGTAGCATGTAGCGTGTGAGTATAGTATAGGCATGGTAGCGTGTGAGTTAGTGATAGCATGTATGCGTGTGAGTATAGTTAAGTCATGTAGGCGTGTGAGTATATCCGCAGTGCGTAAAGCGTGAGTGTAGAGTAGCCGTAGCCCGTGTGTAGTGTAGTTTATGCATTTACGTGTTGATGTAGGTGTAGCATCTAGGCGTGGTGCAGAATAGTGGGGTAATAGCGTGAGTATAGATCACCGTTCGCACAAGGAACGGGACGCTTATGTGACGCACGGTCACATCGCTTAAAAGAATCTGTGTCTTGCTAAAGTAGTATATTTGAAGTTGCGTTTACGTTGTTGCGAACAATGTCTGTACTGTGTGTGTGTGTGTGTGTGTTGTGCTGTTTGGCATGGTGTACGCTGTGTGTGATGACAATGTGTGTCGCTGGGCTCTGCTGTGCAGTGATGATGGTTGTTTTGATCGACTTCAAAAGTTTGTCTCAAGTCCGCTATGTATGTATGTATGGTAGTACCGTAATGTCTTATCGCTTAGGTTAGCGGTGCAGTGCACTCGAATGCCGTCAGCCCTCCTGAGGTGAAACAAGCTCCGTTCACTGTTGACGACGCGCGAACAAGACACAAGAACAGTTGCGGTCAACATTCAGCCTGCCCATGCCGACCGGATCGCACACCGCTTGAAATGCCGTCGACTAAGACGTACGAGTCCATAAGTTACACGCTGATCGTAGCAAGACTAATGTGGAAGTAAGCCTCCATGCATCGGGGAGTATGGGAATCTACTGGTAGTGGAGAGCAACTTACGTATTTTTTTTTTTCCAACAGCGAGCTGTTTTTGCAAGTACGTGGTGAGAGAAAACTATCTCTTCGTCAAAATAATTTTCATTCAGGGTAAGCTATTTTTAGCCCTGACGCACGCCCAGCGATTTCCGGGAAGAGGTTCGAAGAGCAAATCGCGAGTTCGATTTCCGCTCCCCAGCTTGAGAAAAAACGCTGTATTGCTAAATTTACCCTGCTCTTTTGGATGGCATGGGGAGTGGAAGGCATGGCAGACGTTGAGGTGATAATACTGGGTCGAGGTTACTGTAGGACTACGTAGTACAATAGTCGCGGGTGGGCGGGGGAGGGGTTAGCTTGGCTTAGATTAGAGTTAGGGTTAGGCGCAGTCATACTCGCAAGTGGCAGTATTACACCCCAGGGATTACCTAGGGGCAAGCTAAGAGACAAGGATAGTGAAGTGTATGCAGTGCATTCAGGGTGGGGTAGAGGGCATTGTGGAAGAATCTACGGAGCTCAGGGGGGAGGCAGCACAGTTTGGGAGCCACTTCGTTAGGTTTAGGGTTATGGT